AGACGTTTTCCATGTCCGTCTTTAGTACGGCTTAGTCCACCTAGCACTTAACCGGAATCCGTCTCAGTCCGCCCGGACTCCAGGCGGAAAACGGTTAAGAGTTTCGTACGGGTATGTATGTACAGATTAAGAGAAATATACATGTATAAAAAATAAAGCTACAGGTATACATGGTAGAGGCCGTGTACCATTATTTGAAACAGGCTCATATCGGCAATCGTACATTTGATAAGAAGAAAAAGGAAAAAGGAATTCCCCGAGTGTTTTTCGAGTAGTAATCTCATCTAACTTCTTATGATAACATTTTTTTGTGATTAATTTTAATAATTGAATATTTAAACACTGCACATATAGGCAGAATTATTTATGAAAATTTTCAAAGAACGGAATTGTTACTTAGCAGACATTTTCGACAATCAGTTATGCCGGGAATGTCTGAGATGATTGCCATTGTCATAGTCAAGGTCATTCTATTTAAGTTCAAAAACGTATCCTTTACAATGACTTTCTCTATTCCACGTTACACAAAACAACCCCGCGCAGCCAAGTATAGATGGCTATGAGATTTTCAACCCATTAGTTCACGATTAGTACCAATGTGTGCTCAGCATGTATGCTTAAGTTACTCAAAGGCAATGATATCGCATTGCCCATCTTGCAGAAGTCGCCATGCAATTCAGTCAATTAATTAGAAGGAAAAAAAAATCTTATGCACTCTATTGCTTAGCATGGTATTACAAGATATAAAGAAATACACAAAGAATGATTCAAGAACTTTTGTATATTGAAGATTTGGTCTTGAATTTGTAATTGTTCCATTAAGCACAAAACAGTCACTTTTGTATCGAATCGTCATAAAAATACACTTTTGAAACACTCCTTAAATACGTGTGTTCAGAAAACTGACAGGTCATCTAGCCTGGTTTGTTTTCCCTTTGTGCTGGAACTGAACTACAAATTCAAGTCCAAATCTTGAACAAACAAGGTAAATATACAATTTTATATATGTCACGATATATGTATTTTTTAGGCAGTATCTCCATTTGAAATCGTTCCTGATCCTGATATGAGTGTGTGTTGGGGTGATCTTTAGATGAATGCAATTTCCATGCAATATAAACAGAAAGACTGTTTTACAAAAATGCGGAGCAGGCAGGTGCTTCTTTACTCTAGTGCGCAATATTAAACCAGTCATATCTGTCATGAAATCATTTATAAATGCCTAAGGCTTTGGAAAATTGAAGTTTATGAGACTTAAAATTTTCATCCATAGGTCGACTATGGATTGGTTCAGAATATGGTTGCCAGATTTCCTTTGGAAAATGCACTCTACAATCTGTCTATTGTATCAGCCAAGAGAAAAGCATAGTAGTGGAACTTCGGTCAAAGATAGTAAAGGAGGACGCTGTTTAAATAAAGAAAGTGTAACAGGACACAAAGAAATCTTATACCTTTAACAGAGAAAGAAAGATGTCAGAGGGTTTTTTTTTTATGTTTTTGTATGTTTTTCTATGTTAAGAAGGTTTAATATTATGTTAATGTTAATATTTAGCTTTTCCAGCTTGCATGATATTTAGATAAAAGTTTCGTTTTTAATATAAAAATAATATATTATTAATATTCTTTGATATGAAATTTACCCCGAGTCTTTTTATCATCAAGATGTAATGTATGCTTTTTCTGTAAACAATATATACAGAATTAGTTTATTTTATGAGAGGAAATTTACCTTGAAAAGTTCTGCTTTTTTCAAAAAGTAATATTTGTTTTATTCTGTGAGTTATATAAACTGCATCAGTGATATTCTTTGTGTGTGTGTGTGGGGGGGGGGGGGGGGGGGTAATTTACCTCGTAAACTCTTGCTATCATCGAGTTGCAGTGTTTGTTTTGAATAATATAAACTGTATTATTGATACTCTTCGGGAGGGAGGGATTTACCCCGTACATACTTGCTATTTTCAAAGTTTAATGTTTGCTTTTTCTATGTATGATGTAAACTGTATCAGTAATATTTTTTAGAGGAAATTTACCCCGTTAATTTTTACTACCTCCAAGATATTGCAAAGCATAAATTCTGTATCAGTGATTTTCTTCGAGGGGAAATTTACCCTGTAAAGTCTTGCTATCTTAAAGATGGGTGTTTTTGCTTTGAAATACTGTATATAAACTGTATCAATGTCATTTTTAAGAGGAAAATTACCTTATAGATTGTTGCCATCCTATAGATGTTTGCGAATCAAAAATACTGTATCAGTGATTTCTTTGGGGGAAAATTTATCCCATTAAGTCTTGCTATCATCAAGATGGTTGTCTTTGCTTTCAACACTGTATATAAACTGAATCAATGTCAGTTTTGAGAGGAAATTTACCCTGTAGAGTTCTACGATTTTCAAAGTGTAATGTTCGCTTTTTTATAAGAGTGAATACTGTGTCAGTGACACCTTCTTTGGGGGGAAATTTACCCCGTAAAGTCTTACTTTCTAAAAGATTGCATTGCGATTTCTAAAAGGCAGTTTACCCTGAAGATTTTTGCTATCTTTAATATGTTGTGAATCATAAAAACTATATCAGGTATTTGCTTTGGGGGAAATTTACCCCGTAAAGTTTTGCTATCATCAAGATGGTTGCTTTTGCTTTCAAACACTGTATATAAACTGAATCAATGTCATTTTTTAGAGGAAATTTACCCTGTAGAGTTCTGCAATTTTCAAAGTGTAATGTTTGTTTTAATAAGAGTAGTGAATACTGCATCAGTGATATTCTTTGGGGGGAAATTTACCCCGTAAAATCTTGCTATCTACAAGATTGGTGTTTTGCTTAGAAATACTGTGTAAAAACTGTATCAATATCATTTTTGAGAGAAAAATTACTCTGTAGATTGTTGCCATCTTCACGTTGTTTGCGAATCATAAATACTGTAATAGCGATTTTGTTTGGGGGGAAATTTACCCCGTAAAGTCTTGCTATCTAAAAGATGGTTGCTTTTGTTTTGAATTACTGTTGGTACACTGTCTCAATCTCATTTTTGAGAGGAAATTTACCCTGTAGGTTTTTGCTATCTTTAAGATGTGAATAAGTGATTTTCTTTCGGAGGAAATTTACCCCGTAAAGTCTTGCTATATTTCCTCCAAATATTTACATTTCAGTTTATTTGTGACTCTAGATCGTGTTTCCATTAGAAAAATGCTGATTTTTCACAATCTAATGAATAAATATCTTATAAAACTGTGTTGTTTTTTTTTTGTTAGATTTTGCCAATACCTGAGGGCAAAATGCCTAAAACAGAAAAAAAATGTTCTGTTTTGATTTTGGAATGCGTTATAATGTCATTCGCTGTGCAACATGTACAGTCAGATATACACACTTTATAATTTAATAAATGTGCCCAGTGATATTTTTATTCAAACTGTAAGGAAAAAATTAAGTTATTCTATTTTATCATCAAATTAATCTTAGTCTCTGTTTCTTAGACGTCATTTTTTTTTACAAAGACAACGTTATTGAATAACGTCAATGACGTTATCTTTTCATTACAACATGTTGTGTTAAAATACGCATAGCTTTAAAACTATAGCAAATTAAATGCTCAAATTTTGACTGTGTGTCCTAAATTTGTTGTATATTTGAAATATTTGAAAAAGTCAATTTCGAAAATTTTGTCATTAAGACCCCTTTTCCCAGAGAGCGGTCCATATATAGGTATCTGGTTAACAGAAAAGAGTTTGGCAAAAAAAAAAAAAAATGTATAAGAAAAAGTAACTAGGCTCTGGTAAAAACTGTATGAGAAATAAGAAAGGCTAAAAACATAAGTATAGATTTGGTTTTCAAGTAATAAAAAACTGGGTGGTGATTTGAGGGGAGATAAGCCGAGTCATATGCCTAAATATTGACAAATAAAAAATGTATAAATTTATTTTTTTAAAAATCCAATTTTTGTTTAATTTAGATAAAGTTTATTACCACTTCCATACAAAATTGACAATACCTAATTACAGTACATGTAACAGTGAAATCGATTCTGATTAAAACAACAAAATGGCAACGTGATCGATTTTCACAAAACCGAAATAAATCGGATGATATAGCTACTACATGTTCATGTTTTAAATAGAATGGGTCGTTGCAGCATTTTTTTTTTAGAAGAAAAGGCAATGGAACGATGTTTCTTCTTACTTGTACACCTGCAAAAATTTGGTACGAAGACCCACTCTCCATAAAAAAAAGTTTACTAAACCTAAATTTTCAGTGTGGTCTTAAAAAATTCCAAATACGCTTGCTAAATACGATTAACTGAATAACTGTTTGCTATTTAAATGGGCGTGTATATTTGACTGCGTCGTGTAGTGGTCAGAGAGGAGCTGTTTAAACGGACATTTATTGAGGAAAGTTTTCGAATCATGCTCTGATACTTTGAGTTTTTGTTTTGTTTTTCTTTATAATTGAGTTGAAATGTTGCTATGGGAATAAAATATTATTTTAGCTGAAAATAAGAAATATGTATGCAATAATTAATTCATAATTTACAATAAATATTTAAAATGCCGGATTAGAATTATAATAAATACAATGTTATCATTTTAATAATGTCTACAAAATACCTTTTAACACTTAATATACAGATTACAGAAAAGAAGTCACTACCCACGTTAGACATCCTGTGGCAGAAAATGAAGGTCAAGTGTTTAGTTTGTTTGGAATCTAGATATCATTTTGACAACTACTGTAAACATTTAAATGCCTAGGTAAATTGAAAGAATTGAGATATATCCGATATACATACTTGCATAGCAGTAAAAGAGGCTTGGGCAATCGGCTCGTCTTATCAACCCCCCATCCCGATTCTTTCATTTCTTCACTGAATGAGATTGACCACTGTTCCTTTTCTATCTCTTTTACATCAAGCAGATGGCTTTTAAAATGGGGGTGGGGGGTGGGGGGTAGCTTAGTAGTCGAGAAAATACCAACTGAATGTAAAAATAAGATATATAAATGAACGTAACCTTCATAGGCACAAATTCCAAAGTATGACTCAGAGCAATCAACAGAGATTGTAAATTTCTTCACTGGACCACAGTCTATTGCGAGACATGCCGTTCCTCTCCCTACATCGTCGTCTTCTAATAAAACTGGAAGAAGTATCAATATATCGAGAAGATGATTTTAAAAGTAGTTTCCTGACAGCTTCCAACAATGATACAAAATGCAAAATCACGATTGTGTGATTAAGATTTGACGTAATTTAATACAGAATTTCAAAAGTAATCTTACTTTGTTTCAATTGTAGCAAATATAACATTTCGCCAAAATTTCAAAATCTAATAAATCAAATTGTATAATATTTAGTTTTTGACTGTATTTTCAAAAGTGAATGACGAAACTATTTGTAGGAAAAGTCTAGATCTGCATTTACTTTATGGAAGTGGGCTGTGAAATAGTAAATGTCACAAAGGAAAACTGGGAATTACAAATGTTAAGGAGCCTGGAAGCTGAATATAATAATCATGATTTGTTTTACAATTTTCGTAAAGAATCAAGTACACATTAAAACTGTGTCTCTTTACCTGCGGGTTGATTTTCGATACTTGCAAACCGAATTAAATGCTGAATTCACAACTTATTAGTACAATGCCTTTAGTACTCACCAACATTATTTTTTATGGTTTGTTTATGAAATATACAGTCTGGTGAAAACATTTTATCAGACCGTCGAGTAAAATCTTGCAAGACCTGTATCGAAATGTGGAGTGATATTTTCTTTTCATCGATATTGGTGAGTACTAGAAGCATTGTGCTACTGATAAATTGTAAGTTCGGCATTTAATTCAGTTCGCAAGTACCGAAAATCATTTCTGGTTGGAGACCATGAAATTTCCAGTTTTCATAACGGCACCGGTTCTGATGTTTTCCTGCTATGTAAAATATCAAAATCGTGAAAAAAGCCTGGAAAACGTCAGATACTTCGGACTAGCCAGTTGGATGTTCATGAGTAAAGAAGATGAATATTTTTTAAAACATATAATGCATTTTTCATATAGGACAACCTCAACTACACCCAAGACCCCGAACCTTAGAGCCTAATAGATTAGATACTAGTAAAACTAATATTACTATAATTAATCCGATCCAAGTACGTGTGCAAGGATTGTTAGAGTATGTCTGAGTACAGCAGCTGACTTTAAAATACCTGATTTAAATAAAGAATACGCATACGGTCCTCCACATTCCAAAAATTTAATGTCTCCGTCTTCAACATCATTACATTTATTGGTGCATTTGTTTGAAGGGATAGTCTCTGCCAGAATGGTAAATTTCAAGCAGACACATTCTTTTAACTACAAAATTAGATATCATAAAAGTTTCTTTAGTTAGCAATGACACTCTCCAAATATGACTTAAGTGAATGCAAAGCGGTATTACATATGTCTTTGCTGGAAAAAAAGTTTATTTTACTATATTTTTCCTTTTGGAAAATCGAGTTTCATTCCCGTACAAATGTACAGGCAGTTTGATTAAACATGTATGAAATCCATTAAGTAATTTTGTTTAAAGGATACCTTAATTCCAAATAAAGTAGAATTTACAGATTCACATATCTCCCTACAAAACCCTGCTGATGTAAAGTTCATATGGAAATTGTACGTTCGATGTTCTTCAACATACTTTGCATCATAGCATCCTAAAACAATAAATGAAAGTCACGTAATCACAAATACGTATAACTGACTGTAACTTTTCCTTTCTATGTTTGAAGTCTTTATTGTCCAAATCTTATATTAACAAGAAATTCGAAGGATAAATTACAATGTTAACATTGAAATACCTAAATATTTTATCCAAGGTGATAATCGCCTATAAAAACCAGTCCAGTGCTGAGCTGTGGTCGAGGAAACATTGGTTTTCAGGGTATCATTAGTATTACTACAATGCTGTTGAGCTTCAAACCAATTCCATGAACTGTGAACGGACATACTGATGTCAACTGTATAAACAAATATTAATGAAGCTATAAATTTTCTACTTCTTTTAAACCTGAAAGGAAAACTAAATCACAATTTTGCATCAAAAGGAAGATGTGTGACGGATTTCATAATATGATGCAATGAAATGGCTGAATTTTTCATCAAAGATATTCTTCGTGTGCATAGATTTTGATAAAGATTTTTACCCAGTTAACGAAACTTTACTATTTCAGTACTTGGATATATTTATCACCTATCTTCCGAGACTTCTCCTAAGTAGTAAATGCCTAGACTTTTTTCCTGAGACAGAGGACTATATACCGTTTAAGAAAAAATGGAGAGGCAAATAAATCGTAGATTTATATTTTTCACGAATTTTAGTTCAGGAATGAGGGATGATGCCTCACACATGTTCTTATACACATGCAAGTAATCTTTATTTTACTATAGATATTTTTGCATTGTAATATGAATATGTTTCAATGGTGCTCATATCTAAGGTTTGTACCTAAGTGAAATTAAATAGTTGAGTTTGATATGAATGTTACATCTTTGATGCTGATTAGAGATGAAAGAAATGAGATTTTCTAGAGAGTTGAGGTGTTGCATACCTTTGAGCTGTTTTAGGTTTCACAGGATGAAGCTGTGGCATTCAGTCAACTGAATGTTCACTGAAAGGTGTGGTAAGGTGGTTGAGTGACAGAGCTCTGTCATTCAGTCACCTTTCAGTAAACTTTCAGGCACCTTTCAGTTAACTGAATGGCATGGGTTCATCCTGTGTTTACGTCTACCGGTATTTGAATAGTTGTAGCCGTTGCAGACAAAAACCAGTCCTTTGGAGTGTCAGCATTGACACTGTATCCCTCTGTTGTGCAACGGCTGTTTCATCAGTCACTTGTGATGCCAACTCTCAATACATATTTTACCACTCATTATACAATGAAAAACTAACATTTCGAACAAGACCTTTGAAAAAAGGTCCTTTTACGGGTTTGATAAAAGAGCCTTGCAAATAACATCCAGTGGATAAGCGTTTTCCTATACTGTGTAGATATTTACCGAAGAAGGATAGCTGTGCTGAGTGTAAAATTTTCAAGACTATAGCAAAGGTAATAATTTTACCACCTAACGTTTAATACGAAAGATTTTAATAGATATATAATAATATTTTATCAGACGTAATATACGTTATTCAACTGGTTTAAAAATACTTTGTAAAAAAAAATAAAGTTCTTCGTATGCACTAGTATTCAATTTGTATAGAGAGTCATTTGATTTATGACACTGTAAAATTATCAACACATAATCTTGTTATAATGTTCAATTACTAATTCCTACTTTAACATTTTTTAAATCAATCAAAAGGATTACAAACCAGTAAGTAACATGATGGAAAAGCACAGAAGTATACTCCTTTTTCCCTGCTTTTTCATCTCGAACACTACCTCACTGAAATATTGAGTAGTACAGACAGAATGAACAGTTCCCTATTAATACAAACAGAAATAAGGAAGTAGATGTGCACATCTTGAACATAAAAAGACTGTGAACAACGGAGAGAGTTTTCATTTTAATATACTAAGTGTTTTGTTTTTTTCTTCTTCACAATAGTAGTATTACAAGCAGTTAGTGTGTGGCTAAAATTTGATCGGTAAAGTGTTATGTTATATATTCACTTTTAATATAAAAGAACATCTCTTGCTAAGAATCTAAAAGCTAGGAGTGAAATGTGTGTGCCAAATAGATCTCGAGACTACCTTTAAAATTGTTTATACATCATTATGATTGAAACAATTTCTAACCATCGGAGATTTAATTGTAGCCCACAATTGCATTTGTAAAAATGAAATAAATATGGATATTACATGCATATGCAACAAACATGAGGAATAGCAAAGAAAAAGATTTATAGATTTAATTGCTTAATCATCCCGGAAGAAAAAAAAACTCTTAAGTTTGTAAATTAACCTGTGTTTAAATCTCATCTTCCTGTTACAAAACAATTTTTATCTCGCTTTTTTGAGCTTGCCTAAATTATAGGTTCATGTTACATATAGCGATTCTGATGGAAAATTGTTATGGTCTCGGGAATATGCAAGGTCACAACACATGGTCAAATGTTTAAATTATTTATTACAAATACAAATGGAAGTAAGGAAAAAAATTATTATTTTCTCCTCAACAACGACCAGGCCATATCCACAAGAACGTATTGAAGTTTATAAGCCAGATCGATCACTGAGATCGGAAAATCAATAAGACTTGTGGTACCAAAAGTTCGAACTAAGACTTTTGGAGAAAGGACCTTTAGTTGTGCTGCCGCCAGTTTATCGAATGAACTTCCGGCACGCATAAAATTGGCTCAAAGTGTGGGTGTTTTTTAAAAAAAGGCTAAAAACACACCTTTTTAAAGATTGCTTTTCCCGAGTTTTAAACCCCTATAATTTTTATTTTTTTTAAATGTATCAAATGCAAATATCCGATTTTCCTATTTTATTTAACTCTTCTTTTTTTTGGTATTTTTCTTCATTTTTATGCATCTTTCATTTTCTTATTCTTTTTAAAGATTCAATTACTATCTTGTACATTTATTTTACTATAATCTTATTGTTAAGCGCCCTAGAGTAATTTTTATTAACAGGGTGCTCTACAAAGGTTTTATTCATTATTATTATATTATTATTATTTACAATTCGACATCCGCATTTCCGTTTAGTGAAAATCCATATTCGTTCGAATCAATCACTATTTTCGTCCACATTTATGGCCAAACTGTAGTAAAAAGTGAAGGATTTACATTTGCAAATAGGTATCTGTAAAAATAAATTAATAAAAAAGCTTTAAGATTCCAAAAGTCAGACTGTCCAGCGGCCCTAAAATTCCTAAAATACTATTTTAAAAAAAAAGTTTTGCTATAATTCCTTGATTTCGTTAATTCAAGGGGAACTCCTTAAAAATGGATTACATTTTCCATGTCAATTCCCTTTTTATATTTCTAAACTAGGAAGTTTGAAATTGCATTCATACAAAATGTGTCTTCACGTAGTTTGCAGTTCTTATTCAAACGATGCAGTGAAAAGTGCAGTTGACAAGTGAATTCATGTGCTAAGACGCACTTCCTGATCTCAAGTTTTTTTTAATTTAATTTAATTTATTTTTTTATTTATTGATATTTTATTGACAATTTGCAAAGGTACGTCTATTCTAAAACTGCCTTAATTATGTTTAAATATTCTTAATTTTAAGACCTGAATCAGTCGTACATGTACATGTCTCAATTTTACGACTAAATGGCACTTTTTCTTTTTATTACTTTTTCTTTCTTTTTATCTTTTTTTTGTCAAAAAGTGTTGATCAGACTGCAATAATTTGTAGATTCAAAATGTTCTCGAGACATTCTTTAAAGTCATTGCTGGAGTCCGATGACTGAAAGTTTTTTGAACCGTTAATTAGAGATTTTTCCCCAAAGAAGAATAACAACATTTCACAGCACTTTTTAAGCAAATTGAAGAATTACACTCAAATATGTTTTTGGCCTTGTTTTCTTCAGTATATATTTTTATTGTCTTTAACCACATGTATAGACTTCTTTTTCCAAGGAATATGAATATGAATCTGAATCTGAATGCTGTCCACAAAAGTGAAGAAACTTATTTTAAGATTCATTTTAAATGATTCGACGTAGGACATTTTGTAATTATTTTACGTCACATGATCCATTTAATCGCTCTTTGCACTCTCGTGTATAAATACTTATTCAGTGCCAATTCAAGTCATCATAAACACCCTATCAAAGTTGATACGCGTAGTAAGGGAATGTGCATATAGCGTAGTATGGGAATGTGCATATTCATATACATAAAAAAAAAAAAAAACTTAAACGGAAAAGTTGTCAATGCTATCTTAAAAAATCTTAGTACGGAAATGACTAAAAAATAAAAACTATGCTAGAAAATTGTGGTATGATAATGCTGAAACGTTTTAATTAATGCAGATTTCAGCGAGGAAGACGTTGAAAAATAAACTAGACATATGTCCATAGGACATGAATGCCCCGCCGAGGGTATATTAGTAATGAAGCATTTTAACACAAATTGAGAAAAGTGAGGTCAAGGTCAAAGGAAAGGTCAAGGTGAAAAAATATTGATGCAGCTGAATAGCTCTCATCAGTATGTATCAGCATATGAAGTTTGACACTAATTTAAGAAAAGTGAGGTCAAGGTCAAAGGAAAGGTCAAGGTAATGTTAATGCAGTTGAAAAGGTTACATCAGTATGTATTAGCATATGAAGTTTGATAAAATATTATGAATGGTTACTTTAAAAGTGAGCTAAACACTAATTTAAGAAAAGTGAGGTCAAGGTCAAAGGAAAGGTCAAGGTCAAAAAATGTTGATGCAGTTGAATTGCTCTCATCAGAATGTATCAGCAAATGAAGTTTGATAACACTATCTTGAATGGTATCTTTAAAACTGAGCTAAACTTATTTAAGAAAAGTGAGGTCAAGGTCAAAGGAAGGGTCAAGGTTAAAAATATTGATGCAGTTGGATAGCTCTCATC